GTCCTTGACCTTCTGTAGCAAGCGCTTCAGGTCCTCCTCAGTTTCAGCGAGCAGGGTTGTGTCATGCGCATAATGTAGGTTGTTGATGATTCTTCCACCAATCCTGATGCCACATCACTCCTTGTACAGCCCAGCGTCTCGGATGATCTGTTCTGCATACAGATTGAAAATGTATGGAGACAAAATACATCCCCGACAGGGATCCCTTCTTGATTTTGAACCATGTAGTGTCTCCTTGCTCTGTTCTGACGACTGCCTCTTGGTACAAGTATAGGTTTCGCATTAGCACAATCAAATGTTTTGGGATTCCCATTCTTTGCAGAGTCAGCCATAGCTTGTTGTGATCCACACAGTCAAAAGCCTTTGCATAGCCAATGAAGCACAGATAGACATTCTTCTGGTATTCTCTGCTTTCTGCCAAGATACATCTAACATTAGCTATAATATCCCTAGTATCACGAACTCTTCTAAATCCAGCCTGCACATCTGGCAGTTCTCTGTTGACATATTGTTCCGAACGTTTTTGGATCATTTTCAGCAGAATCTTGCTTGCATGTGATATCAATGATATTGCTGGATAATTTCCACACTCTGTTGGGTCACCGTTCTTTGGAATGGGAACAAATATCTATTTCTTCCAGTCAGTTGGCCAGCTGGCTGTCCTCCAGATTTCCCGGCACAACTTACTGAGGACATCCAGGGAAGTGACTGTTTGTTGAAATAAATCAATTGGTATGCTGTCAACTACTGGAGCCTTGTTTTTTGCCAATTCCTTCAGAGCAAATTGAACTTCCTCCTTCATCACCATAGGTTCTTGCTCATATGTTATTTCATGAAATTCCTCTGTGTCAGCCAATTCCTTCTGATACAGTGACTCTGTGTACTTCTTTCATCTTCTCTTGATACTTCCTGGATCATTCAACATTCTACCCTAAGTATCCTTAAGTATTGCTACCTGTGGCTTGAATTTGTTTTTCAGCTCCTGGCATGTGGATTTAGTGCTAATAGTCTCAGCTTAGGGCCTATTAATAAAGCTGAGACACAGTCTCAATCTTGTTCATTTTGGAAACACATGGATCAAGGAGCCTTCCTTGCCATCAAACCCTGTGGAAATGTTGTAGACTGAGGAGATGTCTGGGCCAGATGGTGTCTATCTGTCCATTACTTCAACCTGGTATATTTGCCTTGGAACTCCAGGGAAAGTCTACAAGGGTCACAGCTTTTCCCTAGCTTGCATGGCTTTGGAGCTCTGCCACAATGAAGTTCCTTTTGTACTGTTGTTATTATGTGCCGTCAAGTCGCTTGCGACTCATAGCGACCCTATGTACAACAGCCATAAACCCTGCTCTATCCTGTGCCAATCTCACTGTCTCTGACACACCCATCCCGATTACCCCAGTTACTGAATCAATCCACCTCATAGAGGGTCTTCCCCTTCTGCGCCGTCCCTCCACCCTCCCAAGCATGATGTCCCTTTCCAAGAATCTCTCCCTTCTTACAACATGTCCAAAGTATGTCAGACGAAGGCTCAGAATCCTTGCCTCCAAGGAGCAGCCTGGTTTAACCCTCTCCAGGACGAATCTCTTTGTTTTCTTGACAGTCCAGGGAACATGCAATACTCTTCTCCAGCACCACAGCTCAAAGGCATCAATTCTCCTTCTATCCTCCTTAGTTATTGTCCAACTCTCTGATGCATATCAAGTGATTGCAAAGACCATAGCCTGTATCAGATGCACCTTAGTCTCCAGAGTGACACCATTGCTCTTCAGTACCCTGGAGAGGTCCCTAACAGAAGACTTTCCCACCGCAATACGGTTTTTATTTCCTGGCTACTGGTGCCAAGAGTTTTGACCATGGAGCCAAGCAGACTAAAGTTGTTAACAATCTCAATCTCTTCACAATCCATCCTGATGCTGCCAGTTGGCCCAGTGGTGAGAATCTTTGTCTTCTTTCATTGAGCCTCGGTCCATACTTAAGGCTGCAGTCCTTGGCCCTCTGCAGCAAGCATTTCAGGTCCGCCTCAGTTTCAGCAAGCAGGGTTGTGTCATCTGCATAACACAGACTGTTAATAGATCTTCCACCAATCCTGACTCCACACTTCTCTTCATAGAGCTCAGCCTCTCAGATAATCTGTTGAAAAGGTATGAAGATAGGACACATCCCTGGCATACGCCTTTCCCAATTTTGAACCATGCAGTGTTTCCTTGCTCTGTTCTGATGACTGCCTCTTGGTCCAAGTATAGGTTTCACATTAGCACGATCAAGTGTTCTGGGATTCCCATTCTTCTCAGAGTCAGCCACAGTTTG